CAAATCATTGTCGATGGGTTGAGAGATGGAAATGAAGAATCATCCATCAAAGATTCACAGACTCGAAAGAGAAAGAACCTGATGGATCAATAACCCAACTTTTTTTATCCAAATAATCATGATCCAAGTGTACCAACAGGCCTTTGGTCCAATGGTACTCCTTATCTTATGAAGGTTTTGTCTTCTTGAGGTCAAGGTTCAAGTCTCTCCTCCCCCTCCCCCTCCTACTCCCACTCCCAAAAAAAAAAAAAATATCTAGGTTTTGTTGGTGCAAAATTTGCCCAATCTCCACGTCGGTTAGAATGAACTATGTTCGCCTTGGTGTCAACTTTCTTGTGGTTTAAATCAACTCTCCAAGGCTCCAAATGAGATTTTCGAAGTGCAGGCAGCCCTAAAAATAAGTCGCAGCCCTCTAATGCTCAAGTCACTAACTACTGAAAGCTGAACGACAATGTTTAGGGACAGAGTTACGCACCTTGGGCGTTTCCCATGGGCTCCCTTTTATAGTTGGAAGCCGGTGTTTGTAGGGATCCTCTAGGATGAGAGGTCTCAACTCCTTTCCCTCCAAGATATGGTTGTTGATTCAACTTGGGAGGTTTTTGATTTTCGAATAGCGGATAATCCTATCTCCTAATCCTAGTTCGCAAGCTAGGCAGGTATGGCTGAGCTAATTACTATAACTGGCGCAGCTACTAACTTTCCCCACTCCCATTGGAGATCGACATTCTTCCCAACAGTCAAGGATCAAAATTTCGTTTCGAAACAGTTGAAACGTCCAAAACGTTTCCATTTTCAAGGAAACTGAAACAAATCAGTAATGAATCAAAATTCTAATATTCTGAGGTATTCCATAATATTTCGAGATGTTTTGTAATATTTCAATGTATTTATACAATTATTTTAGAATATTTCAAGGTATTTGAAAATATTTTAATATATTTCGACCAATATTTTGAAAAAATAATTTTTAAATTTTTTATTTTTTTATTATATTTCTGAAACAGATTGAAACATTTTTGTTTCCTAAGTGATTGAAATAATACACTGAAACGAAATTTTGATCCATGACAACGGTAACTTTTTAATTAGGCGACCTTTAGTATAGCTTTCCCAATAGCATAATTAATTTTCCCTCATTAGCTTTAAACACAGAAAGAGGTGATCAAGTCCAAGTTTCTATAAAATCCAAAATTCCAAAAGACTAGATCAGAACTAGTTCCTATCCTAGAAGCAATAAAAGCACTATGTTAACAAGATGATACGATAAAGATGAGCAAACAACACAATAACTACAACTCCCCCAATCTAAATATCCTCCAAGAACCGAACGCTCATCTCATTTCCCACAAAAAATTATCTTTTTGAGAAAAAAAATCGAAAAAATGAATTTTTATGCACATCAAAAACTTTCACTTTGAACCCCATTAACATCCCAGCCATCGGGCATGTAAACCATATTTGTTTCTGATAACAAATGCCACTGCAAATTTTGGTCTAACGCAAATCTCAAGAGCCATTCCTCAAACTTTTATTTTAACCTCTTAACTGGAAAATAAGTGCAAAGCGACATTTTTAGGATAATCAGATACCTTTCTAATTAAAAACTCACACCTATTGCAATGGTTTTATAGAAAATTTCCAGCATGAAACCATAAACTGCTGGATGTATTTTTTTCATCTGCCAATTAAATACAAAAAATCAAAATTTTATTAGTTCTTACTAAATTCCAAGAGGATTTTTAAGTAAAAGCACCAACCAGAGATTGGTGGCAGCAAGCTAAAATATCATCCAGCTAACATAGGAGTCTCATAAACTCAATATTTTCCAACTTTATAGCAACAAACTTTTGTTAGAAGAGCGAAAAGTAAAAAAAGATACAATGGAGGACAAGACATCCTTCCAAAGTTCATTGCAAATAGGACAAGAGAAAATACACCAAAACTATCCAAACCAAAAAAAACCGTATGCCACACAATAATCTCTTGGCTGACATAATGTAAAAAAAGGCGGCCATCAAACTTGGGTCACCAAAGTCGACAAGGATTCCAAAAAAAATGAGCTATATCCAATAAGCAATCATCAATCTCACGATAGAAACTCTAACAATCCACTCCAACCAAATGATCTAGAAAGTTGAAGGAATTCCACAATTTCAAAGAGTGGAAGTTCGTGTATCCCTTCCAACGTCCTTTATTCCACAAACATAGAGATGCAAAGGCAGAGCCTAGTAACCATCCAACTCATTCCTACCAAATGGAATAACTTCCACCACTGTCCCAAAGCAGGACAGTGCAGGAAAAGAGGGCCAATACTTTCACACTTTCTTCTAACAATACAACAAAGTGGTACAAACAAGCATAAGCAAATCATTATTATTAATCCAAGCATGAGCAATTATCCATGCACACATTTGAACTTCAATGGGCACCTTTATCTTCCAAATCATCAAAGATGGAGAAAAAAGTGGGGAGGCAAAATTGCCAATCAAAAATTTGAAGAATGATTTGCAAGAGAACAACCCAACAACTTCTCTTAGAAGACCCAGGATTAGGAGAGAACTCACTGATATATTACAGAATAGAACACAATTCTTAATTTCTCAATCATTAAGATTTGTAGAAAAGCTGAGATTCCAATTGGTTGGCGAGCAAGAAGACAAAATCATATAAGCAATTGAGATGTAATGTGCATCTCATAAGGGATAGCTACAAGACCAATGAAAAGCTAAAACCAAAAGGAATATCCATCAAACTCAACATCTTCTAACTTAGCATCTTTTGAGAAGCTAAAAGAAATATCCATCAAATTTCTAATATTGAATACTAACAATGTTGCACCAAACCACTAAAACATACGATGTTGTCGAACCAATAAGCATGTACAATCTTGAGCCCATAAAAGCCACAACTCATGTCAAACACCTCTGTATTGCAATAAATTAAAGTGCAATAACAATAATTTATTACTATGACAATCAAGGTGCACTGAGCTCCCCTCCCCTCCCCTCCCCTCCGTTAGCTGCCATTAAAAATGACTAGCTCCTACTGTTGTTTTCAAGAAAACAAAATAATAATAACATGAACCTTTGATTGCCAAAAGACTTAAAGTGGTCCCAAGGCCTCCTTCTTCTACCTACTGCTACTTCCAACCAGCACCTACTATCCATCACCAGCATCACCCAATATACAGCTAGGCAAACTCGTGTATAGAATATAGCTACATTATACACACACTCCATATATTATGTATACACCCCAATTATTCCAGAAGGAAAGAGAATTCTAGACCTTTTGAAGATGCAAGATTATTGTCTCAAAGATGGAAAGACTTATGGAACTAAAACCATTGAGCTAGGGCTTTACGAGTGGAATCAATAGTACAAGATCACGCTCCACTTCTTAACAAGCATTTCGCCACCAAAGAGACAAGATAAAAGCATTCTTGGTTGGGTTTGTATATCAAGTTTGGCATGCTTGCTCAAGTGGACCCATGGACTCAATTTGCAACAAACCAAAAAGTGGAAAAATTGCATCTTAGCTTATGTGTGAGTTATGACCCCACGTTAGGACTGGTCACGCTAAGGCTGAGATGTATGTCATAGAATTGTCCAAGTCCATATACATACCCTTTATAAATTAAAAAAACTAATAGTTCCGAGAGAGGAATGGAAATTCTGGAGAGAGAGCATTGATAAAATGGGTGATATTGAAGGACTACCACATTGAATACAACATTTATGATGATTTGACCATTGATGGTATATGGCTTCAAAAAATGGGAGGTGCCTCTTTCAAACATAGCTCTATGCCTTGGTGGTGTAAAGTGAATGATGATGATGAGGGAGGTAGGTGATGGTGATTTGGCGGGTGTGGATGTTGCAGTGATGATGTGATATCATCTAGACGTGTTCGATTGTTGTGATTTGGTGGAGGTTGTGGTGGTGGTGGTGTTTGGGGTTGGTAATGCTATAACGGGCTTCGATGGTGGTCTGAGAAGGAAGTGAAGGAAGAGTGAAATGGTGGTGGTCCACTCGTTTGGATGGGTTTAGCGTTTGACAATGGTGTTTAGCAATATTGGTGCTTGCCGTTTTCGAGGTGGGTGACCAGTGAATGACCACTAAAGGGTGGGAAAATAACTTGTTAAGCAATGAACAAGGTAAACAAGTCATTGGATTCTGGCAATGTGGGGTAACGTAGTCATTCGATGTCTTCCACTGACACTGTTAATTGATACCATATAATACAGTTGCCCATTGTTATTACTCAAATCACAGGTGTATTAGTGTTTTCAGGTCAAACCTCAGAGTGATGCATTAACACTTAAAACAAAGATCATACATGAGATAGTTCACCAAACAAACACAAAGTTCATTACGGTCCAACAAAAATGCAGCGGATAAAATACCATCAAACAACGAAATGTCAAAACAAATGCCTCTCAATCCAATAATTTCCTCTGCCACAATAAAATAAAAATAAAAATTCACACCATTTTTTAAGAAGAAATTTCCATTTTGAAGAACTAGTTGTCACAATCTTGACCAAATAGCCAAACCTTTATAACATATCCGGCAGTATTGTGGGTGGGGGAACAAACAGATTAAACCTCCGCAAGATTTGATAAACCCATGACCAAAAAAAATTGAGAACATTCAATAATGAGTCGTACCATTTTCAGGAAAACAAAAATGACCATTACCAGAATCGCAAATTACATTGCATGCCAATTAACAATTTGAACAAATATTCACAAACCACAATAACTAAAAAGATAAAAGATAAACCCGTGTGAAATATATTGAAGTCTATCAATTTCCAAGGAAAAATGAAAAAAAAATATAGAACACAAAACAAAACGAGCAATACCACAATTCTTTACAAACCACGCAGATCAATGATCAGCCAAAAACCTACATTAATGGCAATCAACTCCATGCATTTCAAGTCCAAATTAACATCAAAATCAAATCACAACTATTTCGACAAAGTATTACAACTACCTTCTCAACCACAGTGCTTTACCAGATTCAAAAGCGTCAACGATTAAAAAAAACGCAACAATACCTGCCCTGACCCCAGAAGCACCAGCCTTTTTCAAACCCTTCTTCTTGACGATAAAGCTAGCACCAATGAAGAAACTCGAAGAAACGGCCAACACCAAGCCCTTTATGTTGTCAGAGGATATGCCTTTGTACGCGTTTGACCAGCTTGTTGACTCCTCTGAAGCAGTCTCCATATATAGTGCCCAAAAATCCCAATAACCCTCTTCTTTAGCACAAAAAATACATCAGCAATAGCCTTTTCTTCCATTCCATCATACCCATTAAGATCCACAGTTCACTTTCTGCTTCTCATTCTAAAGCGAGGGAAAGTTTAGTATTCGGGGGAGTTATGCAATGGAATAGAGATCCTGATAGGAAAAACGACGGTTTAAGAAACGCCTACTGTTGATTACCAAGAAAGTTTGACGAGATAGAAAGAGACAGAAGGGGTAGAACAGTGCGTCTCGTTTGTTTCTTACAGGAAAGAGAGATAGTAACTGCACTAGTTGTTCGTTAAACTCATCTATTATATCCCTACTCCAAAATTACATTAAGGTCCCTGTAAAATATATTAATTACAAGGACACCCTCCTTATTTTTTGAAATAGTACAGATAATCTTTAAGAATTTTTGTTACTAACAGAAGCCACGAAATATGTATCTATTGCTCATAATAAAGGGAGAGTGGATACGTTGTTCACTCTACATGAATTATCTATGATACCCCAATTTTCTTCTTCTTTAAACTACACAACTCCTTTTTGAACCAAACTCAACCACTTATGCCATTATAAGTTTATCTTTTTTGGTTTTGTCTCACTCTTATATCTCTCTCCCTTTCCCTATCTCCCTATCACTCCTTTACAATCACTATGCATGTGATCATGATACTGACCTTAGAGAGAGGGGATAGGGTTGTTGGACACCACCACCACCCTCCCCGATACCCTCTCTCCTTCTCCGTTGAGACTCTATCTTCTTACTTGAAATTTTTTTTTTTTTTGACAACTTGGGGTTAGGAAAGGGCACCATTTACTCCATTCCGTTCTAAAGTCAAAAATGACACGATAGGCGGCCCCTACCCTCCTCTTGCAACCCCTCTGCCCTACCATTGACTACCCTTGCCATTTTCACCTAAGCATGTTCCTATGGTTAGCACTAAACCTAACTTTTCATTAATTGCTACAAGTAAAATCCATATCCTAATTGGGAATCAACTCAACTCACGGTAATATTGTGAAAACCACACTCATCATTGGATTTAACTAGTTTTCTTCTATAAATCTATACCTATACTTTTACTAAAAGACAGTTAGAATGAAAAACTTTAATTTTCCTCATCTGTCCTTGGTTTATCTTAAAAAGCCAATTTTAGCGTTAATTTAATTGTTATAACTTACAACAATTGTTCGTCTTTTAGGCTCTAAAAATGCCAAGAATAGGACTTAGCTACTCACTGATCTTAAAAAGCCATCAAATGCATTCAGGTTTATGCTATTCCATCAAATACCTCCATTAGACATGACAATGATGGATTATATCTATTGTGCTAATTTTTTTCTTAATCTCAATTCTTCTTTAGAAAATAAAATGATCCAAGTCTTTTTGTACCCTACTTTTCAGCTTTTATATTTTCTGGGCTATTTTTAACTTGCTATTTATGAGGTTGCATGGGGGTGCATCCCAGCAATTGTCTTGGGCAGGTACAACATTTTGATTTTTCCCCTTCATGGGTCCTTCTTTTGTGCAATTCTATTTATGTGAATTTAATTTCAATGGGGTTTTCTATGGCAATGAGTCATCGAGTTTCTGTTCAAAGGAATTATGAAAAGGTTGTTGATGCTTATCTGTTCAGCGGGCTACTGTTCTCATCTGACATTGTGTTGAACAATGATATGCATTGGGTGGCATTGCATAATGGATGTAATTTTTGGTATGTGCAGAAGTTATTGATAAAACAGTAGGACTATAATGCTAAACACCATTGCAATTAAGCTGTTGTAGATGCTGAATAGATAATCAGAATCTTGATTCCTTTTTTTAATGGTGGTTCACATAGTCAACATACATATATTCAAATACCCTGCGTTTGGAAAAGGTGGTGTATCACATATACAATTGCTTTGATAACGATTTTGGATATAAATATAGATAATGAAGTTTGAAAATCCTCATATAGTCACAATTATTATTAGTGTTAATAGTAGTAGTACCAAATATTAGATCGAATCTTGGAATTTTATGGCATGTAAAATCCTGTATCAATTGAAATGGAAAATCTTGCCTTTGGTCGTCATTTTCTTTGCACTGCCCATATTGAACAAGCCAAACTTGTTTGTGTTTGATTTAGATGCATAAGGAATGCTTGATGTGCAAATTTGTAGGCAGTTGATCTCCGTGAGTTGTTGATGTTATGCTTCTAAAGATATCTTTACAGTTGAGTAACCCACCACTCAATGTCATGATTCACACTTCACTGCTCAAGGGCATCCTATCACAATTAATTTACATTAATTGGTTTACTCAAATACTCCAGCACTGAACTAGGGTAGATGGGTTGGAAATAGGAACTGGGTGTTGCATAAATCTTGTTTTCTAGAGGATGCTGCAAAAATCTTGAGGAAATTGAGTAGTAAAGGTGGTGGGGAATGTGTACAAACACAATGAACTAGTGATGGCTGTGGTGCTCATCTACAGCGAAGGCATGGGAGTGTGCACCATATCATATTAAGAAGAGACATCAGTGTTGCACGAACTCACCACCATTCCACACTTACAAGCACACATACGAAAAACTGTTATTACCGCACATAAAATCACACACCATCAAATAAATAGCCACTGCCATTGTCACTCTAAGTCACCACACTACCAATAGGCTAGTTCATGGGCCGGGTTCCCTACGGCCTGATGTGCCCTTGTAGAATCTTTTCCGCTATCTCGTTCGGCCTGAAACGATCTTCACTTGCCCAACCCCTAGTACTCACGTTGTTTTTCCTACGCTGCATCATGGCCTAAATTTCGACCCGTAAACTCGCCTAAGACGCCTACCCACTATACAACTTTTATGTTATAATTTTTTTTTAAATTCATCTGCCATATACACATAAAGTTGCGATTTTTAAGATTATAAGCTAACAATCCATAATTAATATAAAGTGATAATTCATAAGTTATGAACTTTTAAGTTGTAAATTACAAACTTTGCAGTATTTTTTCTATGTTTTAATAAAAAGGAAAAAGCATGCGGGCTGACCCGTCCAATAACTCGTCTGATAGCAATAGTCATGGTCAATAGTGCAAAACCCATTACATGCATCCCAACCCATCAACTTCATGCAGTCAGGCTTGGCCTGGTCGGGAACAGTTTTGTTGTTTTGCGCCTGGTCTGGCCTGTTGGGACCCCAACCTACCACCAATCAACCACCCCCTTATATTTAATAGGGTGCAACTCAACCCTAATCTAACCTTGAGTATATAATCTTCAACCCTAATTTTAACCCTAAACTTACCTTGGATTGAGGGACTCAATTCGAGCACTGCCCGAGTTTAATTTGGTCGGACTCGGGTTAAATTCGGGTTAATGATTTCGAGCTATTTTACGGGTTTAATTCGGGTTTAATCTAAAATAAACTTGTTGTTCTAAATTCGATACATATATTACATAATATTCATCTAAATTAATAACCAATAACTTCAATCAAGTTTTTAACATGAAAACCATAATATTAAGAATTCAATGTTTGAGATAATACAACCACAACCATACATAACACAAATAAACACAACTAGAATTCTTGTACAAATGTAGAGTTCACTGCTTAAATAGTGAGTGAGAGAGGCGCACAATGAAAACGTCATAACAGATTAACCCTAGACTTACAAATGTATTTATATGGCTATGAATATTCGGGTTAAACCTGAATATTAAATTGAGCTGAACCCGATTTTAATATTCAAGTTCAACCCGGTAATCCGAGGAGTCAACCCGAGGTCCGCCCAACTTGAATTCAGGTTGAGGTTTTTTGACGTAAACCCAACACAAGTATTAAAAATCCTAGCTTAAGTCTCAATTTTTTCGAACTGGACTTAAGTTAAAATCAGATTAGCCCGCCCAAGTTGCACCTTTAATAGTTAAACACAAAACTTACAGACATGGTCAACTTGTTACAAATAATGTAAACCTACCACTACCAACATACATAATGCTAACCAACTGGATATTGGCCAGAACCTCTGACTTTTCAGTGGGAGGTCAAGGATTCGAAGTTTTCTGGGTGCAAAAGCGTAACTGTTTGGTAAGATAAGCCCTCAGTTACTTGAATAAACCGTATCCAAATCTTTGGTGTGAGTCTTGAGTCTCAAAAAAAATACAAGTCCTGATTTAAATGGTGTATGAGTTAAAGAACTGGTTCATACTCTGAACTTTGTCTTTAGTTCTACTTAAAGTTACGAGTCTGATCGACATAAGCGCGCCTCGCTCAGAACAGACAATGAAATTTCTCCATTTCCAAAAAAAAACATACGTAATGATTTAGGCTAATTGTATGCGATATATTGATCGCTTTGGGATGTCCTTCATGGTTTTAAAATGCATCACAACAGTGAAGATAAAGTTTCGACATATATACTTCAACGACCTTCGATAATTAGGCAATTTATGACAAATTAATGTACCAAACACCTCACCCTTTCGCAGGGATCTTGGATTGTTAGATGGCTAAACTTTCAGCTTTTACAAGTACCTCAAGCTCATTCTTGTGGCGCCCACTCATCTCCAAATGGGACTTGCTCTACCATTACAAGGCAGGTCTGGATCTAATATCACTTGTAATGACTCGACCAAACTAAATGTGATATTGTTCACTTTGGGTTCCACATCTCGGCTTTAAAATACATCACATTAATAAAAATAGAGCTTTTTATATCTATATAGAGCAATAACCTTTTCTAACTAGACGATATGGGATAAGTTCATGGACTAAGCACCTCACCAACCTTCTCACATCAATCCTCAGCTAGTTCTTCACTATAAGATCTGCAATCCGAGCAGGATGGGCTGAATGTAGTTTGTTGATAAATAAAAGGAATCTCAGAACACATTATTCGCAAAGTCCATGTAGAATTAAATAGAAGATTGAAGTAACTTTAACATCCATTATACTTAGAACAACAATGGGGAAATCCCATAGAA